ATACGCATACATGTATACATATATATGAGATATCTACCTACCTACCTACTATCTATTATCTACCTCCTATTGGTTCTGTTTGTCTGCAGAACCCTCATTAACAAAGACAGGAAGCTCTAAGAGGGAGGAAACCAGGTATGGTTTCACTCACCATTGTGTCTCCAGTCTGGTAAAATACCTGATGTACATAGTATGTGCTCAACAAAAACTACTTAAACAAATGACTAATGGGGCTTCATATATCTGGAAAAAGGTTTGAGGCTTTAGCACTGTGCCCCAGCTGCAGGCCTGGAATGGGGAATTCAGGTCCTCTGTGCCCCTTACTGCCTCCTGCGTGCCCAGCAGATGCCACGTTCTTACACACATGATGACATTTACTTCTCATGAACAACCAGCCTGATGAGGCCATCCTCATGCTTTCTACTTTCAAATGAGGAACGTGGGGCTCAGAAGGATTAAATAACTTGCCCGAGGTCACATAGTAATTGAACGTCAGAGTGGAGCTCTGATTCCAAAGCTTCTGCTCGAAACCTTTATAGCTCTGGGAGTTTCCAAGGCCTTGTCTTTTCCACCCTTCAGGGTTCAGGGTTTATCAAACCTCCCAGTGGGTTTATTCCTCAATATCCTGGTCTGACTCCAAAGCCCAGGCTCATGTCAGCCACACTGGGCTGTGAGGACACCGGGGCCCCTCCCGCCATCTCCCACATCCACTGTGGGTCGGTGGCCCTACCGGCCGGTTCTGCCTTCACTCACCAGAGAGGCCTGCCCCCTGAGGTCGCTCATGTCACCCCACACAAAGCATGTCCCCCACTGAATCCCAACCCTCTACTCTGCCCCAGTGTGGCTTCTCACCGGTCCCTGTTCTACACACCATTTACGTCAACCCTCAGGCATTTATGCATTTATTGAATAAGTATTTACTGAGCACCCACTTATGTGCCAGGAGTTGGCAATGTGATGCGAGTAAAACAGATTTAGTTCTTCCTCAGAGGGTTTGTGGTCTAGAGGGGAAGGCCAATGAACAACTAGTATCCATGTGCAATGAATGCCAAACTCTGATACTGCTTATGTCGTCACCCATGGTTGTTTTTTTTTTAAAGATTTATTTATTTATTTGAGAGTGCGAGAATGAAAGAGAGAGAGAGAGTACATGAGAGGGGGGAGGGTTAGAGGGAAAAGCAGGCTCCTCTGCTGAGCAGGGAGCCCGATGCGGGACTCAATCCAGGGATTCCAGGATCATGACCTGAGCCGAAGGCAGTCACTTAACCAACTGAGCCACCCAGGTGCCCACCCATGGTTATTTTCTAACAAATGTTCCTTTTCCACTTCTCTTCCTTCTGATTTCCATAGCCACCATCCTTACGTAGGCTATGAGTTTCCTTTGTATTGAGACAAAAGCAAAATGTTCTAATTCTCCTTTCTTCCCGCCACCACCGTGTTCATCTTCCATAAAACATAAATTCTACCATTCTGTTCTTCAGCCAAATGATCTCAAATCACTCTCCACATACTAGGGACTGTGTTTCTCAAACTGGGCCACACGTACACGTCTGAAGATATGGGGATGCACCAGGCAGTACAGAAAACCATGGGATACACACTGCATCTTTTGGGAACATCAATTTTGCTTGAAATCTGGGAGTGGGGTAAAATGTGATTATTAAACCTAAAATAGACATTTTATGGGAGTAAAATGCACAATTCATGTGAAATTTCAGGATAGAAAAATAAGACTTCAAAGAAAATCTGTGGTTGGTTGGCACCTCCCCCAGGGTCTCTGGCCTCTGCTGTTTTGTCTGTGTGGGTGGGCGGGGCCACTCAGGGCCCACAGGAGAGGTTGGACTGCTGCTGGATGCCCTTCTTCCACTGCAGCCAGGCTCCCGGCCTGACCTGCGTGCTGTATATCCTCGGGGGAAAAGCTTAAGAAGCATTGGCTGCCACAGGAGCCAGACTCTGAGTATGGAGTTGGTACTCAATGAATGAACGAACAAATGCATGAATGAATGAATGAATACATGAAGGCATATGCGTTTGACTTTGATCTTCAAGGACCAACTTGATACGAACCATCACCCCTCTTTCACCTCTTCCTTTGATATTTGTTTCCCCAAACCTGATTCTTTGAAGGTTCCACGTAACTTCCTAACTTCAGGCTTTTGCCCATTCTGTGTGCACTGCCCAGAACACAACCTGCCCCCTCCCCGCTTTCCCACCTAACCAGACCCTATGTGTGTTCAACAGGACTACTCAGCCGCTGCTTTCCCCGTGATGTCTATCCCAAATGTCCCACCCTCCCCTGAACATCCCAAACCCATCTCCACCACTCATTTGGGTGTTAACACGCTGCCTTACACACCGTTCCTGAAATGTTCCCTGGGTACATCTTAGGTCATGAACCAAATTTTAAATGCAGCCAATGTAGGAGATGACTTCCCTTTGCAATGGGCCCCTCAGAGTTCTCAATAGTAAAAGACACATCACAGATACAAGAAAATCATGCTGAAGGACTGACAAGGAATTTTAGTCTAGACATGTAGTTCTCAACCAGGAGCAATTTTCTCCTCCCCAACCCACAGTATTGCACATCAGGAGATAGTTTTGGTTGTCCCAGCTTGCTTTGGCCACTCACAACCAGTGGGGAGAGTCCAGGGATGCTGCTAAACATCCTACAGTACATAGGACAGCACCCTTCCCCTAAGAACTATGTGCCCCAAATTCAATACTGCTGCTGTTAGAAACCCCTGTCTGCATTAGAATATCTTTGGCACTTGTTTCCTTGTCTCTTTTTTCTCCCACTTAGAACCCAACCTCTGACTGGGAGAAATCCTGATCACATCACTCCCCTGGTTACGTCAGTGGCTGTTCACCGACTTTGAGAAAACATTCAAGTTCTTCATGACGGCCATATGATCGGGCTCCGGCATCCCTCCTGAGCTTCAACTCATTTCCTTCTCCAAGTCACTCCCTACGTACCAGCCTTATCACTCACCCTGCAGTTTGGCATACGTTATGATCTTTCGTGCCTCAGCACCTTTGCACATGCTGATCCTTCTGCCTTGAACATGTTTCCTCTTGTCGGCTTATGTAAGTAAGTACTGTTCAAAGATCAGTGCCAACACCCACAGGAGCAAATGTTTATTAATCATCTATCAAGTGCCAGGCCCTGGTTTAGGTGCTGGGGAAACAGCTATGAACAAGACAGAATAGGTCCAAAGAGCTAAAAGTCTAGAAAGGCACTCTCCAATAGAACTTCCTGCTGTGATGGAAATGTCCTAAATCGGTCCTGTTATGAGAGCTATGAGCCACACGTGGCTACTGAGCATGCGAAGTGTAGATAATCTGACCTGAAATCTGCCACAAGCATAGAACACACAATTGTTAATAGTTCTCTCACCTAGGCCCCATGGCAAACTCATGAGGTGGAAGTTACTGTTTTACCCATTTTGCATATGAGAAAACAGGCTCAGAGAGGTTAGGGATAGTTGGACAAAGTCAGGCAGCTGAGAAGGGGTGACGCCTGGCTCTGACCTGGGTCTGCACAGCTCCAGAACCCACAGTCTACACACCACCACACTGCACACCAGCTCCCTCGTGCGATACTTCCCGTGCCAAAAGAGCAAGCAAAAATGATCAAAATGACGCAGACATTCACCCCTTTCCTGGCCGTACACTGACACAGTCATCCTATCAGTCATGTCAGACAGGGACTGAAATTGGAAACGGATTGTGGGAGACAAAGTCCTAATTTCTGGGTCTCCACAGCCAACTGTATAGGGCTAAAAAGCACTGAGCAGGTGATGGGGGACAAAAAGAGCTCTGGTCCCCCCCCAAACATCTTGGCAGCTGCATGTTACTTAGCCTGACACGAGACATGGATTATCACCGCCTTCGGGCACTACTTCCCTGGGAGCAGTTTCTTTTCTAGAAAGTTCCAGGCCCATCCGGTCCACCACAGCACTCACTGTCAGTGCCAGCAGGCTTCACTTGCTCACAGGGGTCTTACAGCCTTTGGCTTCTAAGCACTCAGTCCCCACTAGCTGGGAGCTACTTCTCTCCATCAATGCCTTGAAAACCAGCATGACCGTGGCCTGAGTCTGGCTGCTACTTATCTAACCCATCCCCTTACTCTGAAGCTTTTCCCTGGTGCCCACTAGGGCCACTGGGACTTCCAGAGTTCTGGTTCCCAAAGCCGTACCCTCTCCAGGAAGGCACTAACCCCTTCCCGCAGGTTTTTTTTTAATTGATACATAATTGAAACAGGACACTTATATTAGTTTCAGGTATACGACATAATGATTTGATGTATATTTACATCGCAAAATAATCACCAGTAAGCCTAGTTAACATTCATCACCGCAGAGAGTTACAAATTCTTTTTCTGGCAAAGGGAACTTTTTAAGATCTACCCTCGTAGCAACTTTTAAATATGCAGTAGAGTATGATTAACCTAGTCACCATCCCCAGCTGCCATTCGTGATTGCCTGCATACTCTCAGCCTCTCCCACGGTCCAGGAGGCCCTGTTAACCGCCAAGATCTGTCCAGAAGCCACCAGCCCCTCTCCACCTGCACACCAGCACCCCTGTCCAGGCCACGCTCATCCTCCTAACCCCCAGCCAGCATATCACAGTGATCCCCAAACTGGTCTCCCTTCAGGGAACTCCTCAGACTCATTCTTCCCACAGTAGCCAGGGTGATGTTAAAACATACTTCGCATCGGGTCACGAGGTGTGGTGACTGGGCTCGCGACTCCTTCACCTCTGGATTCCATGGCCTTAAGCGGCCATTTGTGGAATGGAACGTGAAGGTTCATATGTACCAAAACACCAGACGTGGAGCAGACTCCTGAGTCCAGCCAACACCTGGACTTGGCTGCCAGGGCATCTCAGATGGGGAGGGGGCCCCGAGTCCTCTAGGCTCTCCCCTCCCCCTCCCACAGGTCTGGGGCCCGGGGCCCGCCCACCGTGGGCACCCCATCCACAGTGCGTGGCTGGCTACTCACATTTGCTGTGCCTGTCACACAAGGCCGATGCCCTCATGTCGCACAGCCGGATAGTCCCTTTGCTGCTGCTGTACACGAAGCTGTTGCAGTGATGCGGGTGGAACTCGGCCGCTGTGATCACCTCTGTGAGCTCCTCCATGTTGGCCGGCTTAATGTCGACGATATCTGGCACAGGCGGGTCAAGGATGGGACCGGCATGAGCACACAGGACCCCAGGGGTGATGAGCAGCAGTAGTGCCTGGAACTAGTGTAACCTGCGGGGGATCCTCAGAGTAACCCCGTGAGCACACAGGCGGGGCTTCCTGGTCTTGGCAGCCAAGGCCCAGGGATGCCCAGGGCTCCGAGGCATTGTTAGAACTCAGGCCTCCGTGGCCCCTTAGGAGCATTTCATCCTCCACAACACGGAGAACATGTCCCATCGACCGTCAGAGTTATCTGCCCTCGCTATCACACTAGAATGTGCTGAGCTGCAAAGACTTTATTTCTCACTGGACAACAGTGGTGAAGAAGATAGCCCCATTCCAGCTAAATTATTCAGTTTACCTGCATCGTCCCCCAGACTCCCGGGCTGATAAATGATATCCACGGTAGACTGTGAATCCTCTCCCATGAAATCCCTGAGATCTTCCCTAATAACACACGGGTGAGAATAGTGGTGGCACTGACAATAGGCCCATTGCTGCGCCAAGCAGATCATGTACTTGAGTTCAGTTAATCCTTAGAACAGCTCTAGAACCAGTCCTTTCCTTGTCCCTGTTTGTCAGGGGTGGAGAGGGGGCCCTGCCCTGTGTCCCATGGCTAGAGGGGCAGCACCAGGATTTCCTCCCAGGTGCAAAACTTGCGCTCTCGAGGAATTATGCAAAATGTCTCTCACCAAAGATACATAGGACCTCAAGCCTCCATAAGCTGTGATTTGCCTTAGAGCTTGGCTGGGAGTTTAAGCACCTGAAAAAAAAGCCCTCCAGTGTATGGCGGGAGTTTCAGCCTCCCATGGAATATACCTTTGTTTTATCATCTGTTTTTTCTTTCTCAGTATTTTCCTTCCTGATCAAGAATTATTGTAACTCTATTTTTTAAAACCACATCCTTGTATATTGAAATGAAACATTGGGCCTTTGAATTATGGAGGTGCCTCAGTGAGCAGAAGGACCTTCAGGAGGACGTCTGGCATGTGGGAGGGAAGGGGTCTGTGCCACCCCGGAGCTTGGGGGACGTGTGTGCAGGTTGGGGGGCATGTGGCTGAGGTGCTGTCTGAGGACCTGAAACTTCCTGCAAAGGAACGGGCCTTGTGACATGGACGCTGTCACATGGGAAAGCTGACCAAAGCGATTCCCACTTTTCCTAGACTCCACATTACTTTTTTTTTTTTTTTAAATTTTTTATTTATTTATTGAGAGAGAGAGAGAATGGTAGAGAGAGAGCATGAGAGGGAAAGAGGTCAGAGGGAGAGGCAGACTCCCTGCTGAGCAGGGAGCCTGTTGCGGGACTCGATCCTGGGACTCCAGGATCATGACCTGAGCCGAAGGCAGTCGCTTAACCAACTGAGCCACCCAGGCGCCCTAGACTCCACCACTCTTGAGCCACCTTTGTGACTGCGCCCCACGTGGACATCACCAGCTGGTATCTGCTTACCATGTGTCCTTCTGATTGGCTTCTATCGACTCCCTTTGTTTCTTTAGCCTTGTCTAAGCTGTAAGCCAGTATTCATAAAGTCATGAGTTTAAGGAGCTAGTTACATTTTAAATACTATACGTGAAATAAATGCATATCAATTAAAATAAAAATGTTTATGTCTGTGCCGGGAGCTGGTTATCCTGTTTTGGGAAACAGCGCATTGATTCAACAAGAAGTAACGTGACACAGACTCTGCTATTAGGCTGGGACGGAGAAGAACCCTTTCTGCTTTTCATAAAGTTAGTAGCACAGTCCCCTCCTTAGAGTATACCTGAGGTACAAGTAAACGCGCTTGTATTTTTAGTCACACCAGCGCCGACATAGTCATCTGTTCCCGCACATCACCTATGCTCCAGCATGCAATCTGGCCCAGTATGGCTCCGCAGTTGGTTGTGCCTCTTTCCCCTTCAATTATCTCTTACAAGCCTTGTCGAGGTTTTCCAAAATTAGTTTGAGACTCAACTAACACTACATTTTACTACAATTTCCCCCACCCAACCCAGATGCAAATATTACTTGGGTCTCCAGAGCATGCGGGTCCCCTGGATTCACAAAATACTACCTTTCAACTCAACTGCTGCCAGAGTTATAAATATGGGTGCAGTTAGCACCACCCGCTGGGCAGCAGGAGGCTGAGCCCCCCAGGAGGCCCCAGGCTGCATCTCCGATGTTCTCTCTCCTGTCCCCTGCCCCGGGCTTGGTAAGCAGAGCTTAGTGTGTAGTTGCTGTCAGATCTCATCGCCTTCCGGAAAGAGCCTCCATAGCCTACTGTGCCAGGGAGCATGTTTCTCTTTTCCTAAAAATAGGGCAAGAAAATCTGGTGTCAGCTTTCTCAACCTCTACCAGTAGAGCTCTAAAAACAAGCTTAACTGGAAGGGATCTTTGCTGTGTGGGAGGGGGAGGTGCCGCGTCTACTGTTATTTCTTTCTTACCTAAAAATAAAGCCCCAAAGTCAGAATGTGTGAAAATGAAGTGCTTAAAGATATCTATGAAAGCAGGAACATCCCCCAGCATCCAGAACAGCATCACGGGGACGTGCGCATGGACTCTGCTGAGGGCTGCTTCCTCTGGATCCATGCTCCCTCCTTCCCGCACTCCCTCGCTTCCTCCCTTCCACCCAAGCTGGACTTCTAAGCCTCCCCGTCATCCCTCATCCCCAAGCATCGCCCTTTGGACTAGAATGTCTGACTCTACGTGGTTCAGGGATGACTCGAATCCTCTCTTTAATAACTGCAATGACAAGAACAACAAGAGGATAATAACCAACAGTGAATGTTTACCGACTGCCATGCATTGTCTCATGTGACCTTCTTCTCAGCCTTATGAGGTCAGTACTATTAACAGGACTGTTCTCCAGTGGAAGAAGCAGTAGCTGAGGAGAAGTAACCAAGGTCACAGGACTAGCAGGGGGCGGAGCTGGGATTCGAACCCAGTCTGTCTGACTTCAGAGCCTGGATTCTTGACCACAGGCTACTCTCCCTCCCCTGAGGAAGGGCCCTTCCAGAAATAGCCATTCCGACCACAGTAATTCTGGCTCTCTTGAAACTCCCTCTGGCTAATCCCAGAGGGCAGTCTGTGTTATTCTAATTCACTGACCACTTTGGTGGCCACATTTTTCAGAATCAGAATTTGGACACAGCATCTGACTCGGGATTCCTGTGTCCTATGATGTGATATTTATTTTTTTCTTTTTTTGAACCACAGACTGGGACAGAAACATATGGGATTTCTTGAACTGTTCACTGATGGAGGATTTGCTGAGTTCTAAAAACATGTGGGAGGGGACTAGTTACCAAAAATTCAGTGGCTGATAGGGATGGTGGGACAGGGTATTTCATATCTGCATCATCCAGAAACCCAGGCCTTTCCTCTTACTCTGTTCTAAAGGGAGATGCACACCGTCAGCATATGTGGTTTTGCCATTCAGGTTGGGAGGGAAAGAGAAAAGAGATAAGCAGTGCGTGGCTTCCTGTATTATCTTGAAAACAGAATGACGCATTTTGACAGTCAATTTTCTCTTCCCTATGCTTTAGAGCTCTCTATCCAAATTATTTCCCTGTTGTCCCAAAGCACTAAATGGCAAAAGCAAAACATAACACTGGATTCACAGCTAATATACAAGGCAGAAAGCCAACAGATTGCTATTAAATTAACCCTGGGGCTTGACAGATCTGTTCTTCCTGACCCCAACTGCTTATGGCATTCCTTATTAATGCTGAGCCCAGACAAATTACCTCTGCTAACAAAAGGGGTTAATCTGCTTCTCTGTCGGGACTCTGGAGGCAGCTCTGAGGACAGGAGGGGGCACGGCTAGTTTGGCAGCTGAGCTCCACGCTTGGAAGGCAGAAGGAGGGAAGGTGAGGGCATCACTGTGCCAGGCAGGGCCTAAGGCATCATTTAAAGTAATAATTGAAGACACTGGGAGGTCACCCCTTAAGGGATTGGCTTCAAACAAATAAGAAGTCAGAGTCATAAATTACATCACCAGTGGGGTGAGGGGATGGAGAGGATAATGGCAGGACACTAAGGGGTAGCACGGGGGCCATTCAAAAGTCATTTCCTTCATCACCAATTTGGAAAAAGCTTTATACCAAAAAAAAAAAAAAAGTCTACTGCAACATGATAAAAGAAAGAGACTGACAATAAACTGTATATACAGAAATAGGGAAACAATTTAGAAAATTTTAATCTACCTCACTAAATTGTTTTTACAATGTAATTCCAAGTCTGTTAACAGCCATGAAACATTGTATCTATAGCATGACCATAGTCACTTAAAACTTACAATCTGAAAATGATGGGCTAAAAGGCAAGATACTAAATGTGAGTAATAGTTCTATCTGGGTGGGTCTATGAATTTTCAATTATCAGTTATCATTTCAACATTTTCTTTTAATCAAGTAATATTTCAGGACAGAAAAAGACAAGGTATTTTATATTTATATAAAAGATATATATAATATATATATGTATAAAATTAGGTGAGAGAAGTTATACACACACACACACACACACAGTCTGACCAGAGTCATGTAAAAAAATGAGAGAGAGACAGAGAGAATACAGAATGGAAGGAAATGTGGTTAGTATCTTACAGGGATTAGATGGAAGGTTAGCATGTAAGTTACCCTTTAGTAACTCTAGTTTACAAAGGTAACTTACCTTTACCATTGGCTCATTCATTCATTCCTTCATGAAAATCTACAGATGTTTACAAAGAACCTGCTAGTACTTTTCTGGGTATAGGGGATACAGCCATGACCAAAATAGACCAAAAATCCGCCTGATCTGTGGAGCCTATATCCTAGCAGGGCACATGGTCACAAAGCAAGGCAGATAAATATAATATATATTATACTAGACTGTAATAACTGCTAAGCAGAAAAAGCAGGGAAAAGAGAGAGAAATGGTACGTGTGTGAGTGGACAGGTGTGTGTATGTCCTAGACTGAACAGGAGAAGGCTTTCTGGATAGAGTTAAGATTTTTTTCC